TGTATTTTTTGTTGCACATGTGTTCTTCAAAGCAAGATTCAATGTGTGCACAACACAAGGTGTCCAAAAAACTTTAGGAAATGAACCTTCAATAATCATTCCAGCACCTTTGCACACAGGAGCATTATCTGTTATAATTTGTACAACATTTTCTTCCCCTACTTCTTTAATAGCTTCAACCATTCTATCAGCTATGTAATGCTTATTCTTTAATTCATCAGAAGCATCAACCGCTTTCAAAAAATATAGGAACCCCCTCACTAGTGGCATAAAATTAATTAGAGGTCTTCTTTGAGAATTTTTCCATCCATCATAAACTATGTTAACCCCTTTTTTGTTCCAGGTTGATTTAATTGGTTTCAGCAACCTCTCAACATGTGTTTTCTCTTGGTGTAAGGGTGTTGTCCTCAAAGTATTGTATCCAGGAGTAAGAAAACCACTAAAATTATGATTTGCAGCAAATAAATATGAATTCACATAATAAGGGTTTCTGGCAAGATTAAAAGGCAACCCAGAAGAATAAAACATTCTAGCTATAAGAGCTTTGAGAGTGTATCTATCTTCTACGTTAAACACCTTCTCAAGAGGACCACTTTTTCTCCTTTTTAAGGACTTATTCTCATGTCTATTTTTAGTTGGTAAGGGAACACGCTTAGGTTTCAATCTATTTTCAGCCAATTCAACAACTAATTTTAATTCAATCAAATATTTATCATTGACGTTTGAGTACACACCAATTCTTTTTCCATAAATCTTCAATAAGTGGGCTTTTATTGTGAAGTATGAACTTGTAAAAGATTTTTTACAAAATATTACAAGACCATTTCCTATTTCCGCCCCGTTCTAGTCTTTTTTTCTATTAAAGTAACATAAGCCCATAAAGGAGCATGATCATCTTGTTCATGATCTTTTGAAAAGAACTTACTTTAAATTTTTGAACTGGAATTAGAAGAATTTGGTATTGATGCTCACATTTCGAATAAAATTCACTATAACAAAAATGAAAAAAAAATTAAGAGAAAACATTAATAACAAATAACAAAATAATAACTTAGAATAAATATAATAATAATTATTTTATTTTTTAATTTAATAATACTTTCTAATAATTTAACTAATTAAAAATTAAATTAAATTTTAATATTTATAATAAAAATAAGATATTTAAATCATTGCGTTGAATTAAACTTATAAAAAAAATTAACAACATAAAATAATAATAAAAAAATTTATCTTAATATAAAAAAAGTAACTACCGTGGACAATTTAATATTTTATCTAATTATGAATTTTTTATTTTAATTAAATAGTTAATTTACAAATTAATAATTAATTAAATTATTTAATTTATAAATTTTACATAAAATTAAATGATTATGTATATTGTAATAATTTATAATACTTATTTAAAAAAATATAAATTTATTAAAAAATAATAAACATATTAATATTTTTCTAAAAATTAAAATTTATATTAATTATTTAAATTATTAATAAATTTTAATAAATTAAAAGAATAAACTATAAATAATTATTAAATAAAGTTAATCTAAAAACATAATATATATTATGAATAATAATATATTATATATTTTGAAATCCAAATATATTAACTAAACTTTATAAATAATATACTACTTATCACCCAATACCATACGAAGTGAATCTCACGTGAAAAAAGTGTTGCACACATCAACTCACGTTGGAACACTCTATAAGTTGGAGCTGTTACATACACTAAAGAAAAACGAAAACAATCTTACACGTTAGAACACGCTAAAAAAAACACAGTTTCACGCTGGAAGATAAAAGAAGGAAAAAAAAAACAAAAACAAATCCAGGAATAGATGAGAAACAAACTTGTGATGGAGGGAGCCACAACATAAAACTATAAGCTCTCAGATAAATAAAATATTGAAAAAGAGATACATATTTAAATAATTGAAATATATTTTGATAAGTATTTAAATAATTGAAATATGTTTTGATTAATTTAACAATAATAATAACATAAAAATATTTGTTATTTTGTTTTTATTTTTGTTTGAACTTTTTTTTTAACATAAAATTATAAGCTCTCAAAATAAAATGTTAAAAAAGAGATACATGTTTAAATAATTGAAATATGTTTTGATAAATATTTAAATAATTGAAATATGTTTTGATAAATATTTAAATAATTGAAATATGTTTTGATTAATTTAACAATAATAAAAAAAATATTTGTTATTCTGTTTTTATTTTTGTTTTTATTTTTGTTTGGATTTTTTATTTTTATTATACAAATTTTTTAAGTACTAAGGTGAATCAATATCAGATACATATTTGATATGAATACGTTGGACTTTTCAACATATTTAATATTCTTTATAGGTGGAATCATCAAATATATAGGAAGAATAATGAAAGACAAATTAGAATAAGACAATGTATTTAAAGATTGTTTCTTTTACCTGAATCTATTTTAGATGTTGTATCCACTTTCTTTTTTTTATTTCCACATTTTTATTTTTATCATGTTTTTCTTATTCTACTTTTGTCCTTTCTTTTTATTCTTCTATGTTGTCTTTTTGACATTTTACTTCTTTAAAGATAAAAATTATTCTAAACGATCTTAAATTACTTCATAATTATTTTTTTAAGGATAAGAAGAATACAAACAGATTTTTATTAGGTTAAGAGGGAAGGATTTATAGAAATTATTACCTTATTTTCTTCTTTGTGCTTCAAAAGAGGTTTTCTTTCTCGATGAACTTCTCTTATTTTAAAATGGAAAGGATTTGGGTTTGATCTTGTTATTACTATAAATTTTCATTGGAAATAAAAAAATTATGATTAAAAAAAACAGAACACACCACCGTACCATACCATGAACCTTCCTATTTGTTAAAAATGAAAAAGCACTTTATATGGGTCTTTCACACCACTATTAATTCCAATTCAAAACCTACAATTGAAAAGATAACCTATAATTGAAAAGGTTAATGAGTCTTCCAACTCAATTCAACAAAGTCAAATACCTAAAATATCATTTCATAGTTTTATTTTTTATTTTAATTTTTCATTTTTCTACACCTCAATACTCCAAATTAAATACTTAAAATAATATTTTCATAATTTTATCTTTTACTCTAACTTCTTCTTCTTCGCACCTCCATCCTTTAACTATTTAATTTTTTTATACTATCACCTTGATTGAAGTTTTTTTTTAATAATTCAAGGTAAGTAATCATTAATATTATGCATGAATTATTTGTTTTTATCCTCAAATTGCACAAACAGACCCAAATTGTTCAATCTAAAATAATATCGCGAAAATAAGATTGAATTCTAGCAAAGTCAATTCATAAATGCATTTCGCATTCATGTTCTATAATGTGTTTTCAGAAAGGTCAATTTGAAAATGCATTTCAGATTGGATATTCTGAAATACATTTCAGGAAAGTCAATCCGAAACACATTCTGGAACACCCAATCTGAAATATATTTTCGGATTAACCTTTTTGAAAATATATTCCGAAACATTCAATCTGAAATGTATTTTCAGATTGGATTTTTCAAAAATATATTTTAGAATGAGTGTTCTAGAATATATTTCTAGAATGGTCAACTCGGAATACATTCTAAAGATAAAGATAAGTTTAAGGGTAAAATAGAGTTTAATTTAATTATGGGGTACAGGAGAAATTATGGGAATATAGGAAGAAAGAGCCTTCAAAAATCCTTTGTTGAACGGACCCAGTTCAAAACACACAGGCTCAGTCAACATTCCCCACCCTCAAGATGGTTTACAAATCCAATGGCATGGTCATGTATGTGAGGTATTGAGAACTTTTTACCATGGTGGACAAGTGAAAGATGCAGGAAAACATCGTCAGAAAGTAATTTCAATAGTCAACAATTATGAACTTCTAGTATAACTACGGCGTTAACCACCATGATTTGAAACTATAAAGTATTCTCCTGAATTAGAACAAAGACTTAAAAGTCTCAACTAGTTAACATTCTTGGACCAGCACAAATCTAACAGAATTGGATGTTGGGAAATTTGTTTGAAATAAGAAAATGATTGTCAATAGTTTCATACCAAAATTTTGACTTAACTAGCGGTAATGGGAAAACTAGAGGCACTAACAAGAAAAATCTTTTAAGAATTATTTTAACAATTACCAAGAACTAAATATATTTTATGAAGAAAAAAAGTTATGGATTTGTCCATTTAAAAATATATTGGATCTATTAATATTTGTTGCTTTGGGGTGCTTCGCTAACACAAATTTTATTTTACAGACGGGATTAATAGAGAATTGCATAAACATTTAATTTAGTTAACGTCCTTTATTAAGGATAGTTAATAAACTTTACACACAAAACATAAGTAACAAATGAGGTCAAAAATAATCTAATTATCTGAATTTAAAATATTTCCATTACCTTAATTATTTTAATTAATATTTTTATCTTGTTAGTTGTGCCATTGCTAAACTAATCAGTTATTGTAATTCTAAAAATATGCCAAAATATAAAAATAACAAAAGTTTTTGCAAAGATTATATAAAACAGTCATATTTATACTAACTTAGAAAAGTCCAAAGTCAAATGAAAAATATATAAAATGACAAACGTAAATTGAAAATTATACTCAATGGACAAACTGATCCTTTTTACATAAGAATTATGAGAAATAAAAGTTTGACAATGATTAAATTTTAACTTCCTTAAAACTGATATTCCTTAGCAAGAATATTATTTATTATATATATCCTTTCCAGAGAGAGTGATTGCATGGAAAACAGCAAAAATATTAAAGAGATTTCGTTGACATCCAGGTAGAGTTTTATAAACATAATTCTACGGGCTAATATCTGACACTTTTTAAGAGTTGATTATAATCACTTCAATCCCTCATAACCAAATTAATTTACAAGGTATAATGCTGCATGCAAGAATCAGCTTCAGATGCTTTTACCATGAAGATGTGACAATTACTGACGAGCTTATCATTCCAACAGGTCTTGCTCATTTTCCAAATCCCATACAACAATTCTTCCATCCAATCCTGTATATTCGATGAGTAAGGCATAAGCAAAACCAGCCTAGTCGAAACTAACATTATCAGCACACAAAATAACAAAATTCAGATGACCATCATTTTCTACTAACCTGATGTGCTGAAACGCCTTATAATTGTGCCATGATCCCGAAGAGGCATAATGCCACTACAAAGCCCAAAAATCAACCCGGTCATTAGCAATTTATATGAACTATGTTGCCTGAATCCCAGGTAGGAGCATAAAAAATTGAACAGAACAATGGAAAGCGCTAAAAGATTGTAGAATAGAAAAAACTAGCATTTTACAAAGAAAATATGTAACATAACCAATCACATTTGGAGAATGTACGGGGTCATGAAGGAGATATATACTTTATACAGTTTTCATGAACAGTTCCACGAGTTCTTGAAGTTTCAACCGCATCGTTGTTCACTCCATGCTTTGATTGGCCATAAAACTTCCCAAATGCTTCAGAGAACTGATTAAAAGGCATAAATTGACAAATGAAGGAAAGAGTAAACCTCCAGTTAATAACATAAGTGAAATACTACAAGAATAAACGAAATAGCTACAAGCATACAACTTATGACCTTGTGCAAACCTATCTAAAGCTTGATTCCCCTGTCAAAGTTCACATTACAATGAGGCTTATATAATAGGGAAAATACTTAATTACGTTTTTTTTTGTCTCATAAATCAAGGTGCCAATTCTGTGTCCCTCACTAATTTTTTGTTCACAGGCCTCAATAAAATGGGAGGGTTATACTAGACCCTTCGACAAATTGACAGAAAACTTGTCAAAATCCCAAACAGGGACAACTTACTACGGATATGTGTGCTAATTGCTAGGCTGTTATCCAAAAGTAACATTGTATGGTTTCAGTACAGGAGTTAGAGTCGATGCATTTCAGAAAACCAGTTAAGGTGGTAGGACATGAGCAAAAAGGCCAATGGTGGAACCAATACAGAAAGTGCATCACATTGAGGTAGCTAGGCAGGTATAGGGATTCCGTAGTCAACGATGGATCAGTTCATTTTCAATTGGATAATTTCTTTATAGCCATTGTTTTTGCTTTTAAAAGACTTATGTTTATATTCTGTTACAATTAACAATAACTATATTCTAATATTCTGATTTTCAGCAGTAGCTTAACCCTTCCTAGAGGATCTACATCCTCTGCTAATTGTACTTTCCCATTTTCTCTAAAATAAAATTTCATTTTCATTTAAATATCTCAACTATCATGTACCTTGGTAGGTAAAAAAGATAACTCTCTTTTATTAATTTGTGGGAATCAGCTAAATGTTGTCATGATGAGAGTATCTTCCTTAGACATCAAAATGGAAGTTATGATCAACTCAAGCTGACAGCATTATTTTTCACTTAATTTCTCTTTGATCTTTCTAATTAGACAAATCTAAATGTGTTAGGAGGACCAGGAATTCCCTCTGTATCAAGCTAGCTGTGCCACAATTCCATAAGTATTTTCACGTTAGGCAGTACTATTAATGAAATTGATTTCCAGCACTGAGATTCATGTTTATTGAAGAATCTTTTGCAAGGAATTCAGTTACCTGTGAACCATATCTTGATCCAGAAGATACTGCTTTCCGTTCTCCCAGATATCTGACAAAACTCCTATAAATAAAAAAAACACATCAAAAGATAAGCAAAAATAAATAAGGAACCAAATAAACATTTTTCTTCCATCTGGAAAGATAATTCAAAGTGTCATTATGTAGAGATGAAAAGCCTCAATAATTCTAGCTCTAGTAGAAAGTAGAAATATTGCATACGAATTGACCAAGTCACGTTGACAAGGCCAAATTCCCCTTTCATCTGAATTTACACGTACCAAATTCCCCTTTCATCTGCTGCAAAAACCATTGGGTTGCAATCAAATCCTACACCTATCACTTTTTTCTCAGAAACAAATAGTACCTGGAAACAAATCACAGAATGATCCACCATTTCCTAAAATATCAGTAAATTATCTGCAAAAGGGCAATGGAAACTAAAAATAGATAGACAGAGTGGATGCTGACCCACATCACGGAGGGGCAAATCACGGAACACAACATTTTGGGCCAAAGGAGAAGGACCAACATCATCAACAAAATATATCATAGAATTATGACCTGTATAATATCAAGAAATACAGATGGTTAAAAAGTAAGAGACACAAACAGACTTAATAAAATACAATAAATTCAAAAGATTCAGTGATTTTATATACGAGCCCCATATTTTATTTTAATACAATGGGTCGATAAATACATTTGTGCACAACATGAAAACCTTAAAATACCTGATAGTACCAAAAAGTTTATCTTTAATATTCCTCTTTTATTAAAACATAAAGATGATAACTAAACCTCAGCAGAAGCATTTAACTTGCAGCCATAATCTTAAGCTAGTCGAGGGTAAATATTCAGAGGAGAGAATTTTCTCACCTACATATGCTAGAGTATTTCCACTTGGTGACCACTTGACTCCGAATGTCCAAGATGACGAGAGATCAAGCTGAACAATCAGCTGTTGGAAACAAAAACAGTATTAGCAGAAGATACACTAAGCCAGCAGGTCTTTTCATTTCATTTCTTTCTTTTTCTCTGTTTTTAAGGAGATGGAAGAAAAAGATGTTAACTAGAAAAATAATTAGATATTTAGTTCATTATCATAATCTTATACAAATTAATTCTTTCAGATTCATTCAGTCATTGATCATTATGCTAAAATATATTAATCCAGACATCAAGACCTTTACAGAAGTTTTTTTTTTTTTTTTTCAATAATATCAGTTTCAACTTTACAATCAACAACAGGTAAATAATATATCCATAGGATGATGTATGCAAATTTATTTTACATTAAGCTGATCATAAATATAAAACATTTACATATGGAATAAGAGTTAAAATTGAACCTCTCCAAATTTTGAATCTGCTGAAGTACCCTTTTTTGAATCCCTGTGCCAATTAAACATTTCAACTTAAAGGATATAAAAAATAAACAGAAAAAGTTGGCCACAGCCAAAGATCCTTGTACCATACTTTGCATCAACGCCTTTAATAAAGGTGGAGAATACTCGGCATTTCCCATCTGTAGATGTTGTTGCAAGAAGAATCTGCATTAAAAGAAAAACAAAATAAAAACAACGATGTTGTGCATAGGGTGGGTTCTTTTACATCACATAAGAAATATATTTGAAAACATAATTATCTAATGTTATAAATAAAACAATTATCTAAATTTGATCTTGAAACTAACAATTTAACAGGCCAAGATGTTATCTGGTTGAAACAATAGAGGAAACAGGAGATAAATAAATATTATTTAAAATAGATGATTACAGATAAATCATAATAGCAATCCACAAATATAACCAAGTGAGAAAAAAAAATATATTTAAAGAAATTTTCAGCAAGCCAAGCAAGTGCAACCTATCTTGGAGCTGATTTGGTATACAAAAAGAATTTTAATAACTATTATAAAATAATAGCAAACGCTTGGAATATCTTATCCATATATTTACTTGTATATATATATGCATGTATGTATGCATGTATATGAGAAAGACAGACAAACATTTTCGGGATGCCAAGAAACACTTGTCACAGAAGAATCATGTCTTTTCCTGATAAGTTTGCTGACCCACCTGCGTACAAACACATAAAATTAATTAATAAAATATGAAAAGAAAAGAAAGATCTATGAACCATTTTTTGAAGTTCCAGTTGTATCAACTATGTGTGGCCACAGACAGGTTTAGACTTTTTAACCCTACTTGTTCATATGAAAGCAGTGGATTGGATTGGGTCAAGTTAAGGTTAGGGAAATACTTTTCCTTCAAACAAATCCAAACCCAACCAACTCATGAGTGAACTCATGGATATGTCATATAATAAGAAAATTTTCACATGCTAATAACTAAAATAATACCAAGATACAAAATGGAAAATTCATTAAAATAACAACTCTAACTAAATTCAACTTAAATCCCAAGTTAACTAGAAAGTAGCATACCCGATCAATTTGAATTACTAAATATTATCAAAGGCAAGATTTATGAACATGTTAAGGCCATGAACCAGCTATTCCAGTTGTATGAGATATATATTGTGGGGCACTAAACTAATTAAAAAAATCCTTCACATATTAGTTATTTGAATCACCATTCTATTGTCTAAACTCTAAACACACCTTTAAACAACCAAGTCTAAAACTACAATCTAAGCATATCTAAGGTGAATCTATAATGCAAAAACTACAAATAACCATATAGCCAGGATGCTAAAGAACCAATGACAGACCAGTTGTTTTCCTGCTCATAGTAGCATATACAAACAGTTTTGGCCCCACTTCCCACTGCAAATTTGTTTTCTGCCAAAACAGGATTTGGAAATGCATCAGAACCATAGCATGTAACTTTTAATAACAACAATTCACAAAATAACCAACAAAAATGGTTTTAGACAATTATTCCGGAAAAACTGCAAAAAAGGATATTACAAAGAAGGTGCAAGCACCTCTGTTACATGCCTAAATTCAAGACAACAAAATAACAAAAATTGAGAGAAAAAGAATCTTAATCTTAGATGCTGAAAAAAGGTTTTATAGAAGTAACTTCTTAGCAGTGCTCCTACAGAGTGACTACAATATTCTGCATGCCCCACAACAGAAACAATAACAGAATATTTTTTTACCCTTCACGTCATTTTCCTGTTTTCACACCCTTGTTACTCCTCACATACACCCTCGATATTTGGGTCTTCCATTTAAGACCAGGCCCACACTACCAGTCCTATCAACCTCTTAGTAAGGAAGGAAAAAAGTGGCCAAATGGAGGATCATACCTCCAATATTAACATTAAACCCAAGACTTGGGCTTGAAAATTTTGTTCAGGTAAAAAATTGCACAAGACATGCACGACAAGGGCATAACTAGAGTTGGCTTATAATAGCCTCTTAGTCATTACATCTTCCAACACAGGCACTAAGTGTAAAACAGTGCAGAGGGTGGAGAAGTAAGCAGATTTTTTAGTCCTAAACAATTACTTTAAATTATGGGATGGACTTGGACATAAAATTTGCTTATCTAATTCTAGAGGGCAGACATTGGAGTAATTATCTTCCCTTCATAAAGTTTCATGAATATATAAACATATCTCTACTTAAGAAGAGAAGCATAGAGGAACTGAAACATGGCAACATGCTTAATACCTTTTGGACTCCATTGAACACAGAGAGCAGCACGGTTTAGTCTAAGGATAACAAGAGTTGGCACCCATTCTGATCTTTCAAGGTTCCAGACATATCTACGAAGAATATGTGGTTTGCATCTCAACTTGTTATTATATGTTGTGTATACATAAAAAAATGCAATGTTAAAAAGTCACCAATACCTAGGGTGACAAGTCTAATGTTCTAAATCACACAGGCACTCACGAATTTCGATCATGGGATGCAGTAACTATTTTATTTGATCTTGCACTCCAGTCTATCCCAGAAACTACCTGGTCATGCTGAGAAAAAAAGCCAAGAAATGACTTAGAATTATTCACAAATCTCCAACAAAATTAGTTAATCCATTATAAACAGAAATGCATTAGAAAAAGAAAATCAATCATTATATTATTGGCATCAAGGTTGTCAAAATCGTGTGTTTACTCATAAGAGCTGACAATGCTATAATTATTTATTATTTTGATAAGCAAAGAATTGTTTAAGGTTCGGAGCAAAGCTGAATATTTGGTATATTATTGACTTTATACAAAGCAGCGATATACATGTATTAATAAATACAATAAGCACGGCATAAAAGGAAGCATTATCCAAAAGGTATGGCATAATCACAATTACAACTGAAAAATACGATGAAGGAGCTTAAGAGAGTAATTATTGCTTAAAAATTGCATTCCTTTTTTACTGCCTGTTCAATCATTTCTGACAATCAAACTTAAATTTGTAATCACTAAGCATTAAAAAGATCAGTTTTAAGTATCTTCCACTGTGATCAAATCAAGAAGCAATAGTACAGAATTAATAACATTACTTTGAATGGAAAAAAGGAGGAATACTAGCAGACTACCTTTTGAAGAACATACACCTTTTCCCATTTGTCTTCAACCAACCTATAGATGTGCACTTCATTATTGTTTGGACATAAAGCAACCACTGTAAAAGGAAAAAATATATTACAATATTTGAAGAATTGACAAATGCAGTAATGATATGCCATAACGACAATAAAAAGTAGATTTGTTATGGTAAGCCCCATAAATTGTACTTTTTATCGTAGTAAGTAATATGATACATGAAATGCTCAACCGTTTGCAAACATATTCATGTAAGAATGGCAAAACATAGCATGCCAGGTTGGCATTTTTAGGCATCATCCCAGCTTGGCCGGGCCAGCCCTCTAGCCCACCAAACCAACAAGTTAAAGGTGGGATGGGACAAATTAGCCCTTTTTTTAGTGTGTGTGTGTGTGTATATATATATATATATATATATATATATATATATATATATATATATATATATATATATATATATATATATATGCATATTAAAATAAAAATAAAATGGAATATTATTTAAAGGATTATAATTTTGTGTTATGTTGTTTAAAGATCAAATATACTATAATATTGTAATTTAAATGTTTTGATTACACATTGCATGAGCATAGCTATCAATCTTGGATTGTAGCAGTGCCGCCAACCACAGAAAACACTATAGAGCAATAGTACAAAACAAGATGGAAGCTATACCACTTACCAAAGATCATAGGTCTAAGTAATTTATATAAGTAATCAAAATTTAAAAAAGAAATCAAATCAAAGTCATATACATAATGTGATTGAGATAGCATGACACTCGGTGACCAAAAACACTGGTAAATGCTGGGCCATAAGTACTGCCAGCAATCCATGGACTTGAGTTCATGAGGGTGGATGAGACACGCATGGGCTTGCTTAAACAATATTTTAATGCCAAGTTTGTCTTAGAAATGATAAATATTGGATTTCACATTGGCTAGCGGTTTGGCTAAAATAATATATAAGTGAGGTACAAGCTTCAACTTATAAGTCAATTTTGTAAGGTAGAGTTAGACTTAAACTCTTTCTAAGATGGTCTCAGAGCTTATTTTCGCAATTGTTGTTGGATTTATCATGCTACCCGCTACTCGCTAACACTGACCACCTGTTAAATATTTAGTATTACACTTGAAATTCCCAACCCTTGACAGGAGAGGAGTATATTGAAGATCCCATATCCACTAAAATAGAATATATAAATGGGGTGTAAACATCATCTAACAAGTCGAGTTTATGAGATTAAGTTACCCTTAAACTCTTTCTAAGAATAAAATTACCAATATAATAGGATTGGAAACATCAGAAAATGGGCCAAAATGGGGCTTTACCCTTCATGTGCAAAATACCACAGTGAGAATGGAAGCAGTTTTAAATTGCAATGCAACACGCATGATGTTAAAGAGCTCCACAAACTGAAACTCACTGCAGCAAGAGGTCATGGCAGGGGGTATCATGCAGCTGGTATAGTGCATTATCAATAACTATTTCCATGAATCACATTTGATTTAGTCCAGAAATAAAATTAATACCTAAGGTCAATATGCATGATTAAAAAGTTCCATCTAGGTTTGGTAACCTTTCAATGTTTGCCATTCATTTAAAAGGGGAAACATCTGATCTAGGGAGCAAGAAAATGGAAAGAAAAACCAGAAAAAAAAAATATAATTCAATAAAACCTACATTATTAATGATAGCCTTCATCCCTTCTCGTTGAGCTAGATATGTTTTGATGGATGAGAGAGCAATGTTAGGAAACATTTTAACTAAAGCCTCCTCTAGTTTGGGAGTTTTATATAATAAAGGAAAGAAAACAGGGTTTATCACGTGACCCATGCAAAACTCCCCGTTTATAAACATTTTAGGCCACACCAATTTGGACGATTTCAAACATCCAAACAAAGTGAACAAAAATTCTCAACCTCCTAAATTCTCCCCTCCCCTTGTCCAAAAATTTTACATTGCCTACTACAACTTCTAGAACCTCATGTTCTTCATCCTATCCTCTGCTTTGGATCCAAAACTTCTACCACCTCTCGCTCAAGCTTTCTACACGTCCTTGACTGAAGTTTACAATAATATATATAACCAAATCTATTTTCCTTCTAAAATAATAATCAGAAACGAAATCACTCAAACTGATCACCAAAGCAATCAAACATGTTCCTAGACAATTAAACACACTAAAGTCAACAATTTCCCCCAAGTTTCAGAAACCAAACGCTCAGCAATTCAAGTAAAAATATCAGCACTCCACACGCAGTGATAATCAACTTAGTCATCGAACAACGCTCGTGCAGAAGGTTGTCAATTTCCACTAACCACAGCCTCCGTTGATTTCAAATGAAAAGCTCAAAAGAAAACAAAAATTCAGATCCAAAAAATACCGCATTCACAAAACACAGTCCATCAACGAATAGAAGAAATCCAAAATTCAAACCACCACCAAATCGGATTTCCTAAAATTGGTAAAAGAAAAAAGCGAAAGGCGTACTCTGTTCTCTTGAAACAATGAAATTCTGTCTGAATCCAAACCCAAAAAGAAAATCGAAATATATATATATATATATATATATATATATATATAGAGAGAGAGAGAGAGAGAGAGAGAGGGCAATTACTGGATTGATCGGGGCTCCAGACATGGCAAGTGATGCATTGCGCGAATTGGTGAACTGCCATGACCGCCATTATTTATCTTTCTATCCTGTGCAGTGAGTGTAACGGAACGAGATCTGGTGGCGAAGCGCGAAGGAGGTTAGGTTAGGGGCTGTTTGGGTGTGCAAGAGAGACTGATACAACAATCAATCAGTCAGTGCTCGGCTTGGCGTGTTGAGGACACGAAAATGAGTATATGCTTCTACGACATGCTAACTAAAACATACTTTCGGTCATTGAGCTTGCTTAACACCAGTTATTAATTTGAGATCCTAATTTTATAAACCAAATCTATTTTTATTTCAAATTATTGTAAATCATCAACTTTACATTAATTATATATATATATATATATATATATATATATTTTTTTTTAAGTGATTTAAAAACATTATAATTATATCTGAAAAAAATAAAAATAATATTTTTTTTAAATAAATTAAGTTTGATGTTAATTTAAATACTATAATAATTTTTCAATTTTAATTAAACAATTATTTATAAAATTAATTCTTTCAAAACACGAGTTAATATATATATATATATATATATATATTTAATTAAAAATTAAACTACATTAAAATATATTTTTCAAAACATTAATATATATATATATATATATATATATATATATTTTTGTTATTTTATATAAAATTCAAAATTAAACTATATCAAAATATATTTTTCTTTTTTAAGTGATTTAAAAACGTTATAGTTACCCATAAATAATTGTAATGATGAAAAAAATAATAATATTTTTTTTATTTTTATAAATTATAATTATTATTTTTAAAAAAGAATTAAGTTTGATCATAATTTAAATTAGGAATTAAATAAGTATTATAATAATTTATCAATTTTAAGTTAAGTTGTTATTTATGAAATTCTTTTTTTAAGGCTAGTTAATATATATATATATATATATATATATATATATATATATATATATATATATTATTAGTTCATATAAAATATATAAAAATCGAAATTAAACTACATCAAAATAATGGAAGTCCTAATAATTTGAAAGAAGATAACTTCTAAAAGTTAATTTCACGAGGGAGAATTTATAATAATGGCTTATTGTAGGACTTTAACATGAAAACTATATTTCTAAGATATTTTAGAATTGTTTCTTCTCATAGATAGGATTCACAGTATAGTATTTTTTTTTCATTACATGTAGTGAGTTGCAAAATACAGCGTCACAAAAAAAAAAATAGTTGTTTGAGGACAGGTCGTTGACTATTGAATCTATAGTGCAGTTCTATATATTAGTCTTAAACTTAAGCGCATGCAGGTACAATTCATGTTTAATGAATTTTCAAGTCTTTAGTGTCATTTTACATTTGCCAAACAATTCACCCAACGAAAGAGAGTTAGTGATAGCAATCCATGCCCAACAACCAATATTATCAACCAAGTCAATGGGTAGCCAACTCAATGCGACCAAGGATTAGCAGGATGTCAAGATATTTAGTTTATTACAAGTTTTGACGTGAGTAAGAGAATATTTATATATGACATAGTATTTTAGTGGGTTTGTTATGAGTTTTTTATTCACTGTTTGTGTTATATAATTGCTGGTAATGAATGAATGAAAGGAAAAGAAAAGTTTTCATCATTTCTCTGCTTATTTTCAGTTGGAAGTTCTTTGACCTCAAATTAAGGTTCTTTTACCTAACATTTTGGTGCTCTCGTTGACCCTTTCTACTTCTCTTTCCTCTTTTCCACATTTTATCATGATAGATCATAACATTTGCTCCAAATTCATCACCAATTTGGAAGAAGTTGTTCTCAAACTTATCGTTAACCAAAATGAAATTACTACCCATTTGGACGACATTGTTTCTCAGCTCTCCAGTCGCGACGCACCCTTTTCACATTCCAATTCTCTGCCATCCAAACCACACCTCCGTTTAATGTTCTTCAGTTTGATGGAATCGACCCCATGTGGTGGATCTTTAAGATATCCCAATTTTTGTAGTACCATCGCACGCTGAAAGTGGATCGGCTCCAGATTGCATCTTTTTACATGGATGGCCCAGCTCTCGGTTGGTTCCAATGGTTGCATCGGAACAACATGATCCCCTCATGGCAAGAGTTTCTTCAAGCTTTAGAAGTTCATTTTGCTCCTTCCTATTATGAGGATCCTCGTGGTTCTCTCTTTAAGTTGACACAGAAGAGTTCCGTACAAGATTATTTGAATGAGTTTGAATGGCTTGTTAATCACATGGTTGGTCTCCCTGTAACTTTCTTGTAAAGTAATTTTATTTATGGATTAAACCCAGATATCCGCCGTTAAGTTCAAGTGTTGCAACATCAGACTTTAACACAGGCCACGACATTAGCTAAATTGCAAGAGGACAAACTCACTGACCAACGACATTCCTTCCGTCATCATCTTCCCTTCTCTCCTTCATCTAGTCCGCTACTACTTCCAACACCTTCTTGCCCACCGTCACCTCTTCCCACCCGTCTAAACTGCATTATAAAAAGTTGACTCACGAGGAGATGTTGGCTCGTTGTGAGAAAGGATTATGCTACAATTGTGACGAAAAATTCAACTCGGGTCACAAGTGCAAGGGTCATTCCTTTCTATTAATTGTCGTCGATGAGGATGATGACATCTGGGTAGAGTTCCTATGTTTAGAGGTGGCTCCGCTGGAAGGTGCAGATTTGGGCTAGAGTGAAGCCCAAATAAGTTTCAACGCTTTGGCTGAGTTGTCAGACCCTAAAGCTCTTCGCATAGTGGGCTACATCTCTAACCATCCCATTACTATTTTGGTAGATGGGGGAGTACTCAATTTTATCCAAGATAGAATGGCGCATTTCTTGAATAGCCCACTGACACACTACGAGAAATGGTAGTGAAATTGAATGTGATAGCATCTGTCCAGGGGTGGAATTGAAGATTCAAGGTCATAAGTTTCTGGTGGATCTCCATGTGCTCCCCATCAATGGTGATGATGTAGTCCTTGGCATCTACTGGCTCAAAGATTTGGGTCCCATTGTTACTGATTATTCCCAACTAACTATGAAGTTCCTTAAGGATGGGAAATTTGTGGAGTTTAAGGTCGATGCTCCCCCAAAGCCCAATGATATTTTAGCTCAACAAGTTAAATGTATCCTACAAACATATGGTGCAGTAGCATCTTTTCACATTCGTATACTGCATACTACACCCTCACCAAATTCACCTAACACAAAAGTCGTCCTTACCCATCATATTCATCAAATATCGACCCTCTTACACAAATACTCTCAACTTTTCCAGAAATTGGCATCCCTACCACCTTCTCGTCATATGGATCACCAAATACACCCCCTTCCCAATTCGCCACCAGTCTCGATACGTCTGTATCGATATCCCCATTTCCATAAAGCAGAAATTGAGAAACAAATTGAGGAGATGTTATCTTATGGCATGATACAACCGAGAGCCATAACCCCTTTTCCTCCACGGTCTTGCTTGTCAAGAAAAAGGACGGTAGTTGGAGATTATGTGTTAACTTTCGTGCCCTTAATGCTATCACCATCAAGGACAAGAATCCCATTCTCACGATCGATGAGCTCTTGGACAAGTTGGGGGGAGCTTCATGGTTCTCGAAACTGGATTTGCGACAAGGATATCATTAAATTCGCATGTCTAAAGCTGATATTCCTAAAACTGCCTTTCGTACGCATCATGGGCATTATGAGTATACGGTCATGTTGTTTGGGCCTTGTAACGCCCCTTCAACGTATCAAGCAACTATGAATGAACTTCCAAAACCATTTATGCGTAAATTCCTGACTTTTTTTACGACATACTGATTTGTAGCAGGTCATTGGAGGATCCTATTCAGCACTTGGAGCTAACTTTCCAACAATTAATACATGGCGAGTTCTTTTTGTGTGGGGTCTAAGTGTTTGTTTGCCCAGCAACAAGTTGAGTATTTGGGGCATGAGGTTTCTGTAGCTGGTGTAGCATCGGACCATTCAAAAATTCAGACAATGTTGGATTGGCCACCTCCTACCACGATCAAAGCATTGCGTGGCTTTCTGGGATTGACAGGATTTTATAGGCGATTCATCAAAGGGTATGCAACCATAGCTTCCCTCTTTACTGCACTTTTGAAGAATGACGCATTTTTGTGGACTAGTGAAGCTAAAACCACTTTTGACACCTTGAAAAAAGCCATGACTGAGGCACCAGTCTTAGCCTTATCCAATTTCGACTTGCCTGCCTTTTGTTTTGGAGACAGACGCATCCAGCTTCGCCATGGGAGCATTTTTTATGCAGGAGGGCCACCTGATAGCGTTCCATAGTAACCCGTTTTACCCAAAGCTCATGTGTTCCTCTACCTATGTCAGGGAACTTCATGCCATTACAGTCGCAGTTAAGAAGTGGCGCCAATATCTACTTGGGCACTTCTTTACAATCCTCACGGATCATCATAGTCTCAAGGAGTTGATGTCGCAGGTTATCCAAACTTCGGAACAACAAATTTATTTATCGAAGTTGTTGGGCTTCAATTATTCCATAAGTATAAAACAAGGAGTACGAATGTAGTGGCGGATGCTTTGTCCTGCCCTTTTGATTTTGGTGACAACCATCTCTTTCTTCTATCTATGCCTCATTTCTTATTTCTTGAGGAACTTCGCAAGGCTCTACTTACGAGTGCTGAATTGATTCAATTGTTTACGGATGTACAGAACGATTTGAATGTTCCGGAGCATTACAACACCCACCAAAACCTCTTGTTGTACAAAGGTAAAATCTGGTTAAACCGCGACAATCCCTTCATTCTAGTATTGTTGTAGAATTTGACAAAACTCCACTTAGCAGGCATACAGGGGTTGCCAAGACTTTGTCGAGGCTCCAACACAATTTTTATTGGAAAGGCATGCATGAGGATGTTCAAAAATTCGTTGCTCATTATGCAACTTGTTTGCAAACCAAGTATGAAACTAAGCGGCCAACAGGATTATTACAACCTCTCTCTATTATAGTGGAAACATGGGTTAACTTGTCTTTGGATTTTATCACT